GGTCCTACTGTATAGCATAGGGAAATGTGTTCAATATCCTGTGAAAAACCATAATGGAAAAGAATCTGAAAAAGAATATATATGTATATTCAAGTCACTTTGCTGTACAGAAGAAATGAACACATTGTAAATCAACTATACTTCCATAATACTGAAAACAAAAAGAATGCCCGTGAATGACTAAGGAAAAGATAATAATAGAACAATTGGCTAAAGAGTTATTAAACGGGTGCTTCACAAAAGTAGAAATATAGATATTATTTGAAATAAACATATGAAAAAAAGTGTGCAGTCTCATTAATAATTAGGGAATGCAAGTTAGAATCACAATTGCATACCATGAGGAAGCCTATAAGAGTGACTAAAATTGAAAATGTATGACAATATCAAGAGTTGGGAAGAATGTGGAGTAAAGCAGTCCACCTCCACTGTTGGTGGGAGTTTTTAGCTGATAATAAGCACTTTCGACACTATCTTGTAAAGACTGGCTAAATTCCATCCCAGCAGTTTCGCCCCAAGGTGTACACTTGGGACACGAGTCTCTGGAGGCTAACCCCTCTGATGGACACATTCCTCCTGGGCTGTGATGAAACTTTGCCCAAAGTACTGTGGAGTCTGATTGGCCATCTGATCCCTTCTGATAACTTTGCATATCCTGGCTTCCACGTGCATGGCGGAATCTCATTGTAACATGCTCAGGAGAGAGTATTATTCTGAGTTCCCTTCAGTGGAGCCCCACACTTTCCCCAAGCTACTCCGGTACCTGTGATGAGTTCCTGGGCCGAGGGAGGGGCCGCTGCCATAGTTCTCGGCAGTGGCGGTGCTCACACACCTGAGGAAAGCCCCTTCATCCCTCTGCAGGGATTCACCCTTTCCCTGGGCCTGGAGGTGGGTGTGCACAGCCCCTCCTACGTCTCAGAATCCCTCCATGAACTATACCTTGTGTGACTTCATGTTGTGGGGAGTAAGCTCCACCAGGCAGGGCTTTGGTCCATTTTGGTCATTGCTCTATCCCATGCCCAGAAAGTCCTGTGAAAAGACAGGGATGATACAGGTGAAGACGCTGAGGCTCAGAGAGGTCACCTGACTCCTACATGGAGAGGCCTTCCAGCCCTGAGTCCCGGGTTTCCTGCTGCTTTTGGGGTACAGGATAACTTTTTTATGTCTAGAAATCATATGAGGGACTTCCCTGGTCATCCAGTGGGTAAGACTCTGCCTTCCAATGCAGGGGATGCAGGTTCGATCCCTGGTCAGGGAACTAAGATTCCACAGGCCATGGGGCAACTAAGCCTAAGTGCTACAGCTACGGAATGTGGCCTACAGCCCGTGCTCCGCAGCAAGAGAAGCCGCCGCAAGAAGCCTGCGCACTGCAACTAGCGTGTAACCCCTGCTTGCCACAACTAGAGAAAAGCCTGTGCGGCAGTGAGGACCCGACAAAGCCAAAAATAAATACATAAACAAATTAAAGAGAAAAGGAGGCCTGTGAGTGGACAGACACACACAGAGGGAAGGCAGAGACAGAAACTGCAGTGATGTAACTACAGGTCAAAGAACACCAGGGTTGGCTGGCAGCCCGCAGAAGCTAGGAAAAGACAAGGAAGGATACTTCCCCAGAGTTGTGAGAGGGAGCAGAGCCTGCTGACCCCTGGATTTCAGACTTCCAGCCTTCAGAACTGTGGGAGAATAAGTTTCTACTGTTTGAAGCTGTTCATTTGTGGTCATGTGTTATGGCAGCCCCAGAACACTAACACGGGTGTGTCATGTGCGTGAAGGATATGCCTTGTATCCACAGGTAGTTCACCACTGCACAGAGGCTTCTCCCAAGTGAAACGACCCATCAGTGCCAAAAGGCTTCCCGATGATTTTCCTTCCATGCTGCCTCAGTTACCCACATTTTCAGTCTGTCCTTTCTTTAGGGAGGAGGACACAGGACAAGCTGTGGTGTGGGGTGGAAAAAACACAAAGACGGTCTCTGAGAATCACCCTCTTGAAAAAAAAAAGCACCAAGGGGGAAAATGAAGCAGGACTCAGCTCGAGGCAATCACTGGTGGGCAGGGGTGGGTGAGGGAGGGAAGGGAACGGCAGAGATGGAGGCCCTCAGAGAGAGACAGGATGCTGGCCGGCCCCATGGAACAGAATCACAGAATCACATGGAGCAGAAGCACAGGAGAAGGCAGGAAAGAGGACTGGCATAGATACACACCAATATATCCTATTCCAGCACATCAGCCCCTCCATGGGGTCAAAGACCCTTGGCAGCACTAGGTAAGTCCATTCGTTAGGCCTGCGCTGTCTCCTGTTCCCTTCCCATCTGGGTTCCCCCATCTCCTGCATGTGCTATGGAGGTAGGAGAGAGCCAAGGGCTTAGATCTCCATTTCATAATATTCTTGCGGGAAAAACAAACACAAAATTAACAAACCCTTGTGTCTGGATGGGATTTAGAACTTACAAAGTGCTTCCACATACAATCCATCTTGACTGGGCCTCCTTGTGAAAAGAGGTGCTTATCCATGAAAGACAGGTCTGTCCCCTAAATCAGAGATTACAGAAGTCCTAAGCAGAACCACGCCAACGCCCCCAAAGTGGACAGGGGTCAGGTTAGGAAACCATAACACACACACAGACCAACACCCCGGTACGCAGCCTTGTCCAATAGCGAGGAGCAGACTGAGCTCACAGGCACCACAGGAATGCCAGCTGGGCAAGAGTCCTGAGATGAAAACAGGGGATTTACGTTGTCAGTAAATAGGAGACTAGGCGAATTGGACCAACTCTTCCACTAAAGACAATCAAAAGGCTGTACGAACATCTTAAAAGCATCAAAGAGCTAATGAGATTCTAAAGAATTGCTAGGCTGACATCCCAGAGAGGACAGGAATCTAGACAGGGGAGCCCAGCATTCAGGGCCACTTTTCCCTGGAGGTGCTTGCCCATTTAGGAGAGGTGACTAAGAGAATGAATTCTGTTTTTGAAAGTCTTCAAGGATTGGGGGTGGGGGAGGTGTTGGACACTGATAAACCACTGCCTGCTTTGGGCTAAGACTCCAGACTGTGCCCTAAGGGGTCAGGATGAACCAAAGTAAACCAGCCTTGCACAATCTGCTAAGTCTGCGGTCTGCCTTCAGTGGCCAGGAAATGTCAACCCGGAATCTGCAATAACATGATCTCAGAATTCCATTGTCCCTGGGCATGTGACAGCAGCAAATGAAAAGCCCCTCAACCCATCCTAGATCTGGAAACTGCAATAAACAATTTTTCAGATAGTGTCCAGCACAAACTAAAAAATAATGAGGCACCAGAAAGACAAATCAGGGAGCAGCAGCAATTAGGGAAAAGAAACACTCACAGGGATTCCAGTTATGGAATTATCACAAATGGAACACAGGCAAAGTTCTAGAAAACTCTCCTCGCTGGTAGTCAGTAAAGTTCTGACTATTTGAACTGTTAAGTCTCTAATCCATTCTCACTTATTGCCTGGATTGCTACAGTCGTCACTCTATCTGCCTTTACCATCACCTACCTTGGCAGTTAGCTTCCTTGTGGCTCAGTGGTAAATAACCTGTCTGCCAAAACAGGAGACGTGGGTTCAATCCCTGGGTCGGGAAGATCTCCTGGAAAAGAAAATGGCAACCCGCTCCAGTATTCTTGCCTGGAAAAGCCTGCGGGCAGAGAAGGCTGACAGGCTACAGTGCATAGGGTTGCAGAGTCGGACACGACTTAGTGACTCAACCACCACCACCTTGGCAATCTGTCCTAAATGCCCTTTCCAAACCCATCTCCTAAGATGTCTCCCCTCACAATCTTCTAGTCACACAGCAGAACTCTCTTGTGAATGTCCTTTTCTTCTCCATCAACCTGAAAAATGCCTCCTACCCTTCAACGTCCAGTGTAAACCTCTCTCCCTGAAGCCTTTCTGAATTCATAAATCCAACTCTCACAGCTTTGTATAACCTATACTCTGTTGACACAATGTATTTAAAATGTTTAAAAGACTATTTCTCACATACACTGTTAACTTTTTGGGGTTACAGTCATCTTACTCATCTAGAGCTCCTGCAATCTAGCATAACATCTGGCTGAGAATGTGCTGAATAAATGTTTTAAGAAAGAAGGAAAGAGTATTTTGAATAATAGGTGCTATGGATTGTTACGGACTGAACTGTGTCCTCCCCAAATAGCATACGTTGAAGCCCCTAATGTGACTGTGTTTGGAGATAAGGTAATTAAGGCTAAATGAGGTCATCAGAGCAGGGCCTTATTTCAATAGGACTGGTGTCCTTATAAAAAGATGAAGGGACACCAGAGAACTCTCTCCCTCCATATGAACACATAGAAAAGGCCATTGTGGACACAGCAAGAAGGTGGTTGTTTGCAAGCCAGAAAGAGAAGCCTCACCAGAAATCAACTCTGTTGTCAATGTGATCTTGGACTTCTAGCCTCCAGAAAGTTCAGAAAATAAATGTCTAGTGGTTAAGCCTCTCAGGCTGTAGTATTGTCATGGCAGCTCAAGCAGACTAATACATAGACCATTTCTCAGATATGAAACGTGTATGACACACATCCTCAATTAAGGTAAGAATTCAACTCAAAGTGACAAGAAAGGGCAGGAAGTAGACACAGGTACACTAGGAAAAATGGCTTTTTAAAAAGTTTTATTTCAAGAACTTTGTTGTGTTTTTTTTTTTACCGGTATTTCAAAAAAAGGTGGGTCAAAGTACAAAAAAAAAAAAGTCAGTTGAATAACAGCATAGGTTTAGAAATCACAGCAGCAGAAGCAATGTACAGACAGCACAGACAGAACACTGCAGCGTACTGTAATTCTCTTTAGGCTCTTTGCTTATGGTATGTTTATTCCCTCCTGTACAAAATACACCAAGGCATGCCATGAGACCAGAAAAAGAAAGGGGTTCAACAAGTGGTTACAAGAAACAGAATCTGTACAAGAGGAGATAATGCTTCCTCCCTCGCCCCCCGCCCCCCACTTCCTCCCTTGCTCGGCTTCAGGTTAAGTTGTTCTGAAGACAGTTCACCTCCAGGTCGGCCTGGTCACCCTTGCCACCCTCGAGTTTGGGCGACATGGAGTTCTGGATGTTAAATGGCTCCTCCTCTTTCAGGCAGGACTTGAGAGCTTCCTGAATTTTGTGGGGAGCACTAGAATCATCCTGGAAGAGAAAAATAAAAGCTGAGGCCAGATTGGGAAGGAGACAATGGGTGGAGGAATCAAGTAACATCTCAGAGTTTTCTAAAAAAGAAAATAAAACAGAAAAGGAAGAAAGTGTTGAGGCTTGGATGAACCAAAGTGACTCATTAGCAGCTACTTTTTCGGAACATCATCCTCAAAACCCCCCTGGCCATGTTCGGATGAAAACCTGACAGGTAACTGCATTACAAATACCTTTAACAGAAGCCAGACTGGGGAGAAACAGTCCCTTTTAATACTCAGCCTGGTCCCTCTAAAGCCTCACCTGCTGGTGAGCTCTGCCCGGCCCCTCTTCACACGGCCCTCCATCCTGAGGAGTTCTGCTCTTGCAAAAAGGTCTTGATCAGGAACATGACTTGGTGTGCCAACGGCTGTGGTCAGGTGCAGAGCTGATTCCGGCAGAGTCAGGGCCCCTCTCCCCACAGCAAATTCACGTTCTCTGACTAGAGGCCAGAGATGTGCGAGCCTATCAGAATTTCTCTACCACACAGACGCCGACTTACAAGGCGCTCCCTCAGTCTAAGCCCTGTGCTGCTGGTCCGCGACCCTTCTCTGACGGGGCCCCGCACCCTCCTGCCTCTCCGTGTTGCCTGCAGCCGAAGGACGAGCTCCTGAACCTGGTTGAACTTGCGAACGGTTCCCAGGAGACCCTCATCAGTACAGTCCTCCAGCTCTGTGTCCAGAGAACCCTTACAGCGACACCTGTCGTCCCGCTGCTCTTCCTTGAGGATTCCGAGAGCAGATTTTACCCAGGGGGCCTCGGTTCCTTCTCAGGAGCCCCAAATAGCTATTGTTAAGTGCTCGGAATTCTTGCAGATCAAAGAGGCTGTGTAGCCACCCAGGCAGGTTCATGGAGGGCAAGAAGGGTAAGGTGCCTATCTGACGGGCCAGCTCAGCCCTTTCTTGCTTTAATCACTTCTGAAATTCAAGATACGCATGGTGATTAAGGACCAGGACGTTCTCTACAGAACAGAGAGCCGGAGTCCCATGCTGCCTGCTTCTGAGTATGACCTCTAATGGCACTAGGTCAGGGGAGGGACTAGTTGGAAAGTAGAGAAAGGTGCTAGGCTTACAGTAGCTACAGGTGTTCAATGTACTGTGTGTGTAGAAATCACTATGACCTGCCCCCCACTCCAGCCTCACTGAGCACTGTCTCAGAAGACTGGCATGCACAGAGCAATCTGAGTTAGTTTCGAAGGCTTCAGGAATGATTTACAGACAACAGCGGAACACACGCTCCCCAATTCCAGCGTGTATGAGATAAGTACAAGGCCAAAACGAACTTCATTCTGTGTTGAGGCAGATTTCAGGCAAGGCCGCTGCACACAGCTCCTACAGGCAGTGGGTATTTTCTACCCTTGCTTGGACAGGCTGAGAAAAAACTGTTCAGTGGCATAACTGTATATGTGCTGAGATGGAAAGATCGCCCTGATATATTAAGTGTATTATGTACACACACACGCACAGGTTTTTTATGGAGAGGGAAGCAGGATGAGGTAGAACTTGTGTGAGGTGTGGGGGAGACACTGGACATAAACACCTGAGACCCTGAGTAGAAGGGACTGGGTATCACAGCAAAATGTGGAGCAAGACAGGATGGCCTACACTCATCCTCTGACAAGAATGGAACTCACTTTCACATTTTTCAAGATAACCACCCCTACCCTGGCCCCATCACACTCTCCTTGGGGGCATACAGGGGCACAGGGATATTCTCATAACGTGAAAAAGTGAATTCAGTGAGTTGTACAGACCTGGGCATCAAAACTGTGACACCATGAAGGTGGGGAACCTAATTAAACCCGGCCTCTTGAGGACTTGGACAGAGGAGAAAGCTGTCTTCCGGGCCAATGGGTGGGAGAAGTCAACCCTACAAATCAGGAACACAGGTATCCGACAATGCTATGAGACAAGCTAAGTAACTTCAGCAGGTTGAACAGGCGAGGACGTGTCTAGACCAAGATGGAGCGATTCTCGTCCACGTGTTTGTTCCAGAACTCCTCTTAAGCCTAGGGTGGCTGAGTCCCTCAGCTGAAGGCCCCTCTGCCTTTGATTTTGTGGAAGTCCCTCATCGCGAGGAAACTGGACCTCCCCCTGGCCTAAGTCCTGGGAACTATTTCCAGCTTTCTGTCCCAGCCACGTGGGCATCCTTCCACCAGGGGTTCAGGCCTGGATGTCTTCTTGTTCAGACACAAGCCTCCATCAGAAGGGGGCGGGCAGCCAGTGTTTTACCAAACACATGGAGGAAACAGAGGCTGGGAGTAGGGAGGATTTAAACCGGCAGGGTGGGGTGGGACGGGAAACACTAAGGGGCCTCCTGGAAGCCCACCCAGTCTCAGGAGGACCAAGCCCCCGCCACGACACCGCTCTGACAGCACGGCGGGGAGACGGGCAGGGCGGCTTCCGACGCTCAGGCAGTTCGCCCGTGTTGTTAAGGTGACTTCACTGATGCCATGCAGCGGGAGGTGCCCAGCCTTCTACACACTTGCCATTCCTCCCAGAAAAGGGCAAACCTTCGTAGCTGGGGCTGAAAAGCTGTGGGCTTTTCCTTCTCCTTCTGAAGTTTCTCTCCGAGGCTGGCTGCTCAGTGACACAAGACCCACACACACGCAGCTGCTGGCTCCCCAGACACAGGGTCCCACGTCACTGCAGAGGGCCCAGCCCAGGAGCAGCACAGAGTGATGAGCATAGCAGGGGAGAGGGGCGTGCCCCAACACAGACACCAGCCGTGGACCCTTCCCCGACCAGACCCAAAGCGGTACTTTGTTGTTTGAAATCTTTTCAGACAGTGGTTTTTAGAGATTACTGGAACGGAGTAGGAAAACGACCCATTCCATCTCCTTGACTTATGTAAAAGAAATAACCCCTCTACTAAGATAAAGAAAACTACAAAATTTTAGGAGATGCCAAAATCAACAAGGTTTTTTTTTTTTTTTTAGGGGTGAAGGGAGAGGGATGGGGAGACTAGCTGCCCCTGTTTCGACTCCCAGCTCATCTGGAGGTTCACTTTCATCCTGCTGCCAGCAGCGCTTGTCAGCAGTCACTGCGGTGGCTGAAGCAACGGCCAGGGCTCCACTTCATCATAAGGTGGTAACTGTCTTCACTGTCAATGCACAAGATCTTGACTATGACCAAGTTTGACTTCTGGGTGAGGTGGAAGGAATGAGAGGTGAAGTGGAAAACCCAGCTGCTGGACAGAAGAGCCACCCCCCACGGGCTCAGGGCTTTGGCAGAGGTGACAGGATGTACCCTGGGGCACGAGCTGAGGGAACGATGCCCATGGAAACGGCCCCCAGGATCCCAGAGGAGTCAGAGAGTTGAGTGCTGCCCTGAGTACCGCCCAGACAACCCAAGGCCCTTCTTGGGCAGAGACCACTATGGCTGACCACCCTGCTCCACTCTGCTTTTGTTCTGCCATATGCTGAACTGAAGGTCAGTGGCAGTTTTTCCTGGATAAATGCCTTGCTTTCCCAAAGCTGGGTCCATAAGAACTGGAAACCTGGAGAAGGAAATGGCAACCCGCTCCAGTATTCTTGCCTGGAAAAGTCCATGGACAGAGGAGCCTGGCAGGCTGCAGTCCATGGGGTCACATGACTGAGCATGTGTGCACGAGGGTGGAGGGAGATGGGTTGGTAGCAATGAAGTGGTAGAATTGGGGGGGGGGGGAAAGAACTGGAAACCTTTGTGTTGGCTCCTGCAACCAAGGCCTCCAAGAGACACTATTTCCTTCCCCTCCATCTTTGTGAGGAGGAAAGGTGGACACACCAAGGCTGCCAGAAATGCATGAGTCAGCAGCTTTGCTAAGGACCCTTGCACTCTGTGGATAATAAACACCCTGACTGCAGGCACTCCTGTACAGGTCAGGCCTGCTGTCCCTCATGTATGAGATGGCACATCAGACAGTGGGTCTGAGAGACCCCATGGCAAGCCACTGATCACCAGTAATTCAAAACTGACAATTACATGCACATCACTGCCAGAGGATGGGTACGTTGGGATGGGGTATTCCAAGACAAGGCACATCCTACATCCTTGTGGGTTGACTGGAGTGGTCACCAATCTCAGACCTGACAGGACATCTTGTTGCCTTGACAGTTATGCTCATCTTAAACTTATTAGTGTCTTGGTACATGCCATGTAAAATATATCTGTTTTTTCTCTATCCTTTATAGCAAAGTCTTTAAAAAATTAGCTTAAATTGGCCTTTTTTATTTCTTATTTGAATTGACTCCTTTTCTCCTCCTTCTACAGGTCAACTTGTTCTTTTCTGGGGTTTGGTGAACAAAGCCTCATATACTATTATTTTCTCCTTTGCCTTCTGGGGATGCACTTTCCCCAGTTATAAAAAAAAGGAAATGGTCTATCGGGACCTCTTATTGGGTTTCAACTTAAATTTATAAACCCATCCTCGTAAGGACAGATTTATCCCTACACTTATGGTTCTGCCAGTGTTCTGTGCTTCCCTTTATATAAAAAAACTTTAAAAAACTATCCTAGATTGCCCTCTTTCAGTGTATATAACCAGTGTATATAAGCCTGCTCATTTTTAGGGCTCTCAAAACAGTGTCAAAGAGACTGTTTTTCCGGCAATCCCAGAGGTTTTCCCATTCACCCCAAAGAACAAGCACCATCTGCTTCAAAGACTAGCGAGAAAGTCCCCAGCAAGAAAAGCAGAGGCTTTCTTCTAAATGTAGAAAAGAAGACAAAAATCAGACTTCTAAAGCCGAGATGAAGCTAAAAATCCTGCGCCATCCCAGAAACGGCTCTCCTGTACTTTGTGCTACTTTGCCTGTCCAGGAGGTGACACGCCATCATGCTCTTCTTACTTTCGTGGCCCGGAGAGGCCACCCCATCCAGACCCTCAGAGCTCTGAGGAGTGGCTCCATATGGTGAAGTGAGCCAGAGACGCGGGCAGGGGCAGGAGCAGGCACAAGGACAGATGCAAAGAAGACAAGTCACCTGACAGAAAGCATTATCCTAGCGAGCCAAGGCACAGGCAGTGAGGGGGAGGGGGACGCGGAGGGTCGCAATGTTTCCTTACGTTTGGGTGAGAGCCCTCGGCAATGGTGGACAGGGAGAAGTTATCGTTGTGGAGCTCTGAAGGGGTCCGGAATTTGCTGGTTAGGACAGAAGAGAGAAGGGAAAATGTAAGTGAAACAATCTGATAGAAGCTTCACGGGGCAAGCGCTGTGTCATGCATGGGTGTGCCCCTATTTGCTGTACCACTAAGAAAAACCTTCTGCCATTTAAACCATGATCCAATCCTTTCTTATCACCTAGAGTTTTCATTACACACTTTAAGGTGCTCATTTAGACTTTAGATAAAGAGCTGACAATGATATGAACAGCTATGACCACGTTTGCGCCTGCCAGACAATTACAACTACATCATGACTGCCATCTGGCCAACAGTGATTATAAGATGCCAGCAACTGTAAGACACAATCCAATTTCAGAGATGCTAATATGTGGGGGGAAATGGGTATCTTAGAATCAGTACGCTACAGCAGTATCTGTAGTGCACTGGGTACATGTATTAATAGCATTTTCAGAGTGGTAATCAGGCTTGGGAAAGAAAGGAGGTGTGCAGAGGAAATAAGGAAGGTGGCATTGGAGCTGAAGGGCTGGGGGAGCCATGCTCTGTGCCAAACACAAACTGGTTCCAGGAGGAAGATCTAGAAGGGGGCCCTTCCCTGGGCTCCTGCTTCTCTACTGCCCTGGCAGCCCTCCTTCTGTCCCCAGTCATCAGCAGCAGCCCTGGTAGGTGGTCCCATTCCCACCCTGACCCTCCCCCCACCACTTCAGTGGCGGTGTGAGGAGCCAAGGGCCTTGGCTTGTGATCACATGCACAGATACAGCCCTGCCTCAATGCACAGGCACAATGGAGAGGCCCTCGCAGCCCCAGGACGGTTAGCTGAAAGGCAGCAGAGAGCCGCTGGCATCTGCACGTCCCACGAGTTTACCCAGCAAAGGAGCAACAGATGGCGTTTTGTCCCTTTCCCAGGACCCAGGGCAAGTCCTTCAGTCCCATTCTCTGGAGGGAGTCTCAGGTCAGGGGGAGGGAATTAACTGGGGGGAAACAACAGGGGGAAAGGGGGGTGGAGGCGGTGCTGCATAAATTGCCTCCTGGGTCCTGAGGAAGCTGAACTCGTCTCCTCCTTTTCTGACTCCTGTGACATTTGAGAAGGTTCTTTACTTTGCTAGGTGATAACAGTGACTGTCTCACGGTGGGTAAGGTCACATCCTAGTGTTCAAGGTGTGGGCTTCAAGGGTAAACGCATGTTGATTCTCAGAGGTGCAGAGCTGTGACTCCTCTGCTCAGAGAAGAGCTGAAGTGAGACGCCACATGCCCATATGGCCCTTCAAATCCACAGTGGAGGAAGTGAGGCCGAGGTCCTAGCACTCCTCACATTCTACTGAGAGGGAACGGGGACTTCCTTGAGCCCTCTGTTCTTCTGCCTGGACCAGGGCGAATCAGTTTGAAAAGCAATGAGCTGCTAAATCCTTTCACTGAAGAGGATGGCACATCTGAGGGAGCTGGAGGAGTCACTTCATGCTGATTTGGGAACGAAATCCTCACACCGGCCTCTGGCTGTCAAAGACCTGGGAAGCAGGTGCAATCAGATGGGGGTGGGGGGCTGAGCGCAGTAACTTACTTGACCACAGTGGGAAGCTGCTATACTCTGTTGCCTTTTCTAAGCATCCTAAGAAAAGACGGCCAGTGTGTGTGTGTGTGTGTGTGGAATGGTGCTGGACAGCGGCAGTCTGCCACAGGGGCCTAAGCTCTGCTGCAATTCCAGCACATTCTGTGTAAGAACAGGTAAGCTTGGGTGAATCTCAGGTATGAAAAATGGAAGCAGGGATGGACAGCAGATGCCAGAAACCCTCACGACCACACCCCTGGGTTCCACAGGGCGGGGCTGGCAGTCAGACTCACTTGGTCCTGCGAAGCTTGCTGTTCTCTGTCTTGAGCAGGTAGAGCTTCTTGGCGAAGAACACCGTCATCATGAAGAGCAGGAGCAGCACGAGGGCGGCCGAGCCGACGGCCACACACATCACCTGGAAGTCAGTGATGATGGACTCGCAGCGCATCCCCTTGTGCCAGATGTAGTCCTGTGTGTTGCACCTGTAGCGGTGACAGGGTGAGGCTGAGGCGACGGTGCCCGCAGCGAGCGTCTGACCCTTGACCCCGGGGCTTACTTCAACACCCTGCTCCTATGAGCAGCTAGAGGAAGTGTGGTGTCCTCATCTGTGCAGACTTTAAGGTTGCTATTCTTACCTCATCTTTACAACCACACTGTGAAGAATGTGTGGCACAAATGCATCAAGGGTGGTTGACACAAATGAGGTAAACGGGGTGCTGAGAATCTGAACACACTGGTCATTCACAGGCCTGTGAAGTGACTGAGGGAAGGGAACCCCGTTTTCCACTTCAGTGACAACAATCACAAGATTCCCTCAGAACCCTCCAAGCCCCTGCCCGGGCTCTGGTGGGGGGAAAAAAAAAAGATGAAAAACAAGATGAATAGGAGCTACCACCACAAAGTAGTAGGACCCGCCCTACCTTGGGGCACTGCAGTCCCATCTAGTTCATGTGGCTAACCAGACACTGAAAATAAGGAAGCGACAGACAAGGACAAGCACAAAGACAGATGTACATTCTCCCCCATCTCAGCAGCCCCCCAAGTGCCACCCCTACAGCTTCCTGTCCTGTCACCATGAGAACTGTCATGAAAGCAGAATAAGAAGCAACCCTCTGGGTGGGTTTCAGTCCTTTTGTTGAGTGACTTTCTCCTGCCCTTGGGGACATTCCCAGGCTCCAACTCTTCCAATGACATCGCTGTTTCCATGGGAACCAGGCTGCTTCAAAGAGGAAAAAATGTGGAAGGATACAGAGGCAGGCAAAGGAGGGAGGACATGAACCTCAGGGTGACTGACAGGAGAAAGGAGTCCAGAAATGGGGAAATCAAACACGGGAGAATTAGCCACTCCACACCTAGAAGAGGGTGGGGCTCTGTGGCAAGCAGTGAATTCTCTTATCCAGCTGCCCCTCTGCAGTCGTGGGAGGCTGTTGGAGGACAGCAGGGAAGGAAGGTCCCTCTAACAGAGTGCTCTGGAGAAGTTCTGCCATAGCTCTGCTCATTTCCCTGCAGTGGTTGGGTGACACAGACAAAAGCATGCTGCAGTCTGCAACCAAGGGCTCAGCAGCCTCCTGTGAGTGGAATGTAAAACAGTTTCCAAGCCGGGGCTGGGCCTGGGTGTACCCGTCAGAAGAGGAATTTCTGGTAGGAAGGCCCAGGGTGGGTGATCCTGGGATGGAAGCTGTCCAAGGGGTGCTGGAGTGGACTAGTGAGAAGTCCTCCTAAGGCAGGATCCACTGGAGGACCCGCGGTCGGAATAAGCATGCCACTCAGTGAGGTCATGCTTAATACTGGGGGTCCCTTGATAGCTCCAGGAGGTTCTGGGAACTGTTCTAAGTGCTCCAGAGGTAAGAGGGCTCCAAATTTCATACTCTGATGGGGAGCTAACTTCGAAGGTGAAAACTCAGGCCTCCAATAGGATGAAAGATACTAATTTTGCACAGATTCCATAGCTCCCAGGTTAAAATCATTACTATAGTCCTCCCTCCACAACTAGAGTCTGAGGAGCAAAATCAGGGTTTCCTTGTATTTCTGGTAACCCTTAAGCAACCAGCAAGGTCTTGTTGCCAAAATTTCTTGATCACAGGTCTTCTTTTTGCCAATGGCTGGACAGCTCCAATCAGAGCTGTGTGGACACATCCTATATTAGTGACCTAATGACATGATCATTTATAGGAAAGAACTTCATAGGAAGGAAGCTCAAGCTTTAATGACAAAGGCACAGCATGCGTGCATTATATTATTCTTCTATCAGAACATTAAGACCTACAGAATCTGAATTCTTTATATACCTCCAAAAAGACGCAGAAAAAGAAACATAGGGAATGGCACTTAAAAAATAGAGATACCCAGATTACAGAAATGTTTCACTCTTAGGACCGGTGTAAACAAGTCCCAGAAGGATCTGAGGTCTCCGTGCCACTTCTAGGGCCTGTAAAGGATGGAGCGAAGCAAAGCACTCAGGCCTGGACACGTGCTTCATCCGGAATGAGGACAAGCCCATGAGCTCTCCAGCAGGTTAACGACCTTGCCGTGAGGGCAGGTGTATCGGGTTAATTACTAATGAGGCATGGGCTGGTGGCTGCATACAATATCCTTACTCTGACACTAAACTCTCTGGGTCTTTAAAACATGTCAGACTGAGTATCTCCAGGAAGATAACAACCAAGGTAAAGGAGCAAAGTCACTATCCAGAGCTAAGAAACGCCAAACGTCTGCTGTGTGAGGACAGACACTCTGCTTGACTTGACCTGTTTGAATGGCTGCTCTCTGGGTCTTTTTCCAATGAGAAGGTCCTCATTCGTGCCACCTGAAGCACGTGCCCCACAGGGTCACGGGGCCTTTCTGCCTCGCACATGGCTCAGAGGGAGTGGTCAGCAGTTCTCTCTTCTCCCAGGGTGTCTATGGACCTTCTTCTGCAAGTTTAGCTAGAACTTGCCAACAAGAACTTGCCCTCAAGTCAGCAAAGGCCTTTTCCAAAATCCTTGGTTAAGTCCTTTCGTTTCGCCTTTATAGTTTACTGGTTTGGTAAAGGCCACGACACTTAAGAGGAAATGCACAGTCTCACTTCTGAGGAAACTCTCCTAGTGATAAGCTCACAGAAAGTACATTTAAGCTGTGAGTCTGTAGAATATTTATTGGGACCATCTCTTGACCCGTAAACACACAATCTCTGGGAACCTGCCACATCCCCCTCTCTGCTGAGGCAGCCTCCCATGCCTCCTTCAGAAGGAGTTCTCTGACAAACCCCCTGGCATCTGCCTGCCACGTCCTTACCTGCAGAAAGCCCCAATGTTCTCCACCAGGTAGCACTGGCCGCCATTGTGACAGTAACTTGGGAAGAGGTCGCACACGGACCGGCAGGAGCCGTTATGTCTCACAAAGCCACTGCGGCACACGGTGCCATTCTCGCTCGGGGCCAGGTCCCTGCCTGGCTCTCCTGGGCGGGGCCTGAGGGCGATGCTGCTGCCAGGGACCATCCCCAGAGTATGCTGCGGAGGGACAGCGTGCCACCGACTGGTGGGCTGGCCTGTCCCGGGCCCCAGACCAGGCTTCTCAGTGGGCACTAGAAGGTCATTTTCATCTTCCAGGTCTCCGCCTCCCACTGCATCCTTGTCCTCCTCGTCTTCCTCCTCTTCATCCAAGTCATCATAGAAGGATGTGGTAGGGTAGAAATCAGACTCATCAAAGGGGGTGAAGTCATCGTACAAGTCAAGCAGGCTCCAGGAAGGGGTCTCTCCCCCGGGATCAGGGTGGTGCTCTGAGGTACCTGGCGACCCAGGGAAGCTCCCCAGGTCGGCGCCACGGCCCTCACCATCCAATCCTTCGAAGTAGTCGATGTCAATTATATCTGACTCTGGGTGGGGCTCTAGTGTGCCCTGAAAGGGGTACGTGGGCTCTGGCCCGTGAGGGTCAGGTGTGCTTCCTCCCAGGTTCAGCCAAACCTCCATGGGGCTCTCCTTGGGGAGTTCAGGGCCTGGGCTTGGCTTGTCGCCAGGGGTGGGGGAGGGTGGTTCGCCGGCCTCCGTAGCCTCGAGGGTGGCTGGAGATGTCGAGGACTGCCCGAGGGCCTCGTCGGGTGCTGGGCGCGTGGCTGGAAGGGCCTGGGTGTCGCCGCTGCCCGCCTCTGCGGTCACTCCGCCCAGGCCTGGGCTGTCGGCCTCCAGCCAGGCTGTGCCTGTCACCGCCGCCGACGCCTCCAGCGCCTCCTCAGCCCCGACCCCAGGGCCCACCAAGGCCTGCTCGCCGCCGGGCGCAGTCCGATTAGTCTCATCTTTTCCAGGGGCTGGTGGGCCGGCCTTCTCCCGCGTGTCGTTAGCACGCGGCTCCCACGCCGGGACGTTCTTCACGGGCGTGTCTGCCTCGACGGCGCTGCCCGCCTCACGCACTGTGGGCCGGAGGGAGGGGGGCGGGGCGTCACGGACCGCGCGCGCGTTAGAGCTGGGGCAGCGCCCCGCCCCTGCCGCGGCTGCACTCTCAGACCCCCGCCAACCTTAAGCCTCAGCGTCAAGCTTTCCCAAGGCCACGCCCCATCCTTAAGCCCCGCCCCGAGCCCGCCCCACAAGCCCGGGAACACACCCGACCAAATATTATCCTCGCTTAGGCCCCGCCCCAAGTGAAAGGCCCCGCCCCCGACATCACCCGCGCTCTAACTCGAGCGGCCCTCATTTCTGGCTCCTGGCAAAAAGTCTCACCTTCCGGGCTCTATTCCACCACCAGGCCCCGCCCCAAAGTCGCACCCTTAGGGCCCCGCCCCGAACTCGCGTTCTCATGCCCCGCCATCACCTCCAGGTCCCGCCCCGAAATCTCACCCTCAGGCCCCGCCCCAACAGGCCCACCCCCAGCCAACACCTCGGTCCCCACACTCGGGTGGCGGCCGCCGAGTCGCCTGCACCAAGTCCCCCCATCTCCTCGTGCGCCCCTTCCCCCGCTCGGGCTGCAGGCAAGACTCTGCCCCGCCCCCTTGGCACAGCTCGCGGACACCTCTTGTACCCGAAGCCAACGGGACCCTGGTCCAAGGTTGGGCGCGAGAGCCGCTGGGGTCCCGGTCGCGGTCTGTACCTACCCGGCGCGGCCCCGGAGGCGAGGACCAGCGTAACCCCCAGAAGCAGCAGCAGCGGCGGTGGCCCCCGGCCCGGGCCCCCGCCCTCGGCTCGGCCCATGGCGCGGCGCCCCGACCGCTGTCCGCGGTCTGCCCGGCTGGCTGCGCCCTCGGCTCACCGGCCGCCGCGCCTCCCGCCCGTGCTGCGGCCGTCTCAGCCCACGATGGGCAAAGGGAGAAGCCGCATGCCGCCGCCGTCCGCCGCTGTCCCCGGCGCGCCGCGCCTCCCCGCCTTCCGCGCCGCCGCTGCCGCGCTCAGCGCCGCCCCCACCCCGCCCGCCGCGCCCGCCCCGCCGCACGTAGCTCTGACGCCGGCCCTGCTCAGTCCTCCTGCGGTGGGGACAGACAGACCCCCGGCTCTGCACGCGGAGACAAACGGACATGGGGTAGCGCGCGGGCAGGCGCACAGCGCCGCGCTTGGCATTAGCCTCCAGGTGCACTGGCGGGAGACCTGAGGGGCGGGGCCGTAGTCCCGCCCTCCCAGTGGAGGGGCTGGCACGGGTCCCCCAACCGCGAGGAACCCACCCGCCACGCGGCGAGCACGGAGGGGGGCGCCCAGACACCCGCAGGCTCGGGGCGGGGCTCGGAAAGGCCGCAGGGGGCGGCAGCCCCAGCCCGCGCTGTGCCAGTGAGCCGAACCCAGGGCACACGGAGCTTCTCGGATTTCTGCACCAACCCAGTGTTCAGGGCGAAGGGTCTCCGGGAGGTCCCCGAGACCCCACGAGGGCGGGGCGGGCGCTGACAGTGCCAGGCAAGGGGGCGAAGTGGACCTCCCAGGCCCTAATCGGATCAGACCTAATCCGTCTGCAGCCAAAGCCCCAGACCTCGCACAGCCAGGCCCGCCGGAACGCATCCTGGGGGCAGGGGGCAAGAATTTCCCTCCTCAAGGCAGCCTAGGGTGTGGCCTGTAATCCCGGTTCCGTGGTCCCTCTCCAAGATACATCGCCCCCCATTCTTCCCGGGCCGCCAAAGCTCAGGTTGGTGGGTAGTCACGGCGCTTGGTCGCTCAGTCGCGTCCGAATCTTTGCCACCCCATGGACTGTAGCCCGCCAGGCTCCTCTCCAAGGGGATTCTCTGGGCAGGAATACTGGAGTGGGTTTGCCATGTCCTCCTCTAGGGGATCTTCCCAACCCAGGGATCGATCCCGCATTGCAGGGGGATTCTTTACCAGCTGAGCCACCAGGGAAGCCCAAGAAGACTGGAGTGGGTAGCCTATCCCTTCTCCAGGGGATTTTCCAAACTCGGAAATTGAACCAGGGTCCCCTGCATCACAGGCAGATTCTTTACCAGCTGAGCTACCTATCCCTAGGAGACTAAGGGACAACAGTCTATGCCCGCTCAGGTGTTACAGTCTATGGGTCCTGTCCTAAGCTCACTCTGCAGTACAGAACCACTCATCTCTAGATCTCTGCTTGGTGGTGGGAATTGCAGCCTAGTGACCTACTTTGTCCACCAAACCGACTGTCTGCCTTTTGATCTATTAACCCTAATGGTGATATTCAAGGTCACTGCCAGAGATGTGGAAACTCTGGTATTTGAGACACTCCCATTCCTGTCACTTGGGACCCACAAAACTGACCAAGAACTGTCACTAGTACATGTCTCTGGATGGGGTTGCCTTGATTCAAAGCCTGTTTCTTTCAATGGAACTAGATCTACCTGCTCATCCTGGTTGGTCCCTCCTCTCCCCATCTACCTGGCAAATCCTTTAACCCAGAAAGCTCAGTTCCCATAACCTTCCCATCCAGGAAGCCTTCTGTCTGACCAGAGTAGTTAAGACACTTTTGCCCTGATCTCATCGTCTGTCTACAATAATTCCCTACTAGACTGCAAGACACTTGCGCGGGCAGTGACAGGTGCAGCTGCTTAAGGTGGGTAGGAGGCATAAATGAACTAATGGCAACCATCTTAGTCCCACCACAGAACTGTGGGTCTACAAGGGGCTGATGTGCTAAAGCTCTTTCCATGGTTTCATATTGCCTCTGAGGACAGTGTATACCAATTTGAAATACAACTTTCTCTGAGCAGAGGGCCAGGCAGAGGTTTGCACTTGCCTGTAGCCAGAGAGGTACTGATGGACCTGCCAACACCACCTCTTCTTTCCTGTAGCTTTTCTTTGCATCTTTTTTTTTTTTTTTTTTTTTGGTCTTACAAGGTCTTGTGTGTTGCTTTCTGTGTGTCTCCTTGAGTCTTGAGTAGGCTTGTCAAGGTGGAGGACCTTGGTAGACATGCCCACCTTCTCCTTCCTGAGGCCAGTCTTAGTGGGAAGGAGGCCTCACAGATGGGTCCTTTGGTGCCTAGAGCATGACAATCACTCCTGTGTTTTTCACAAGAAAGGTCTGGGTGGGGGCTCTTTTCACACCCCTGTTAAAGCACTACCTACTCCAGTTAACACTTAAATATATCCTTTTAAATTTTTGACTTATATAAAACAAGCATATGGTATAAAATAAAATATGAAATCATCTCCTTCCTCAGTGACCTCCCTCCCTTCCCTGGAGACAAGGTTCTATTACTACTTTCTTCATTTGGGGATTTTAAATCAACTATTGTCATCCAGTTTCATCCTGATCCTCCCCAGATCTCGCCAGCAATTGCAGAACGAAGCACAGCACACCGGCTAGGTGACAGCTCCACAGGCCAGAAGCACATCAAGGCAGTGACCTTGGGAGAGTCAGTATCCTGTCTCATGTATGTGAAAGCAGTTAACTGTAGTGTGTCAAATGAATGTGGTTATTTTTTTCCAGGCACAGTGCAAGGGTAGGCTAAAAAAGAGAAGTGAGAATATGTAGAAATTGGAGAGTGAAAGAAAGGTAAATGGACTACTATCTAGAGCTTACACTCCATGTCCCCGCATTAAAGTCTCCTGGATTTGGGCATCAGGGATGTTTGAGGGTATGGCTTCTGCATGCCTCTGAAGTTCCCATTGGGTTTGGCAGAACCAAGGCAGGCACGAGGCCCACTGCCACAGACACAGCTTGCTGCTTTGTGCATAGAAGGCCCCCAGAAGCCAGGGGGCTGCTCTCCAGGGCAGAGCTGCGCCTGTTGCTGTGGCTAGGGCATATTTCAGTCTCAACAGGAAGCAGCACAGTTCCTGGCTTTAAGTCCTCAGTAGTAACCATTAACACTTTCCTGAGGTTTTAGTTTTCCAAGTGCTCTAATTTGTCTTACTCTTCGCAACCATACTGTTGTTCTACTGGTCACTTTACATGCTTGCAAATGGACACTGAGATCATGCTAATGAACTGCTAAGGCCAAGATTTGTACCAACATTTTGATTTCATATCTTTCCATTTTATTATGGAGGCTTTTCATTCTTGCTTCTTAATTTTGGAAGAGTAATCAGGATGCAGAGGTATGGGACCCAGCCTCTCCCCCTGCCCCCCTGGGTGTTTAAGAGTTGATGCTATGGGGGTCCAGTGGTTAACACTCTGTGCTTCCAATGCAGGGGTCGCAGATTCAACCCCTGGTCAGGGAAATATGATCCCACAAGCTGCACTGCATGGCCAAAACTTAAAGGAAACAAACAAAAAGCTGAATTTTTTTTTTTTTAAAAAAGAGTCGATGCTATGTTCTCTTAACAGGGTATAACACCGCTGTCCAGACTCATGCCCTGGATCAGCCAGAAAGGGACATCGAGCATGGCCTTTCTCCTACACTCTCCAGCGTGTGGAGTAGACACATCTGGTTCTGGGCTACAAGGTAGTCAGCTCTGTGACATTTTTGGTGATGAGCTGCTGGGAATGATCCTTCTTGCACCATTACCAGGAAGATGCAAAGAGCCAAGAGGCAGAGGTCTGAGTTCTTTGTGCTGACCACTACCTCCTCACTACCGGAAGCTCTGCATTCTCAATTTGCACAAGTGCTCTCATCTTAGAAAAAGACAACTTGGAGGTGGTCATCTTGTTTGGGAAGTGGGGCTGCCATCAAATTGGAAAAGCCCCTGAACTTCATTATCTCAAAGCCAAATCAGCTGGGAGAAAGGCACACTGCACATGCCAGCACAGCCTCTGACGTGGAGCAGCCGGGCTTGTCTGAGAAGTCCTGCTGCCTCAGCAGACAACCTGAGTGCTGCTAGAGAACCCCACAGCTCCTGCAGGGCAACTGGAAAAGGAATGCCAGTCAACTTGGATGGCCACGGGAGACCCACCACTGTCAACAAACCAAAGAAATCAGGAGCCCTGCCCACTGCCTAAGCCCTTGGGGACCACCTGACAGTGGTGTCACTGTCTGTATTAGGCATGGTGATTCTGCTCAGACCCACAAAGGCTGTACCCTAAGAGTACGTGGTAGGATAAGGTGGCTGCCAGCAATCAGGCACCTGACTGATCCACATGGGTATGTAAGGGCCTGGATAAGGCATCTGGAGGCAGAAAGGAGTAAAGATGGCTCCAGTTCTGCAGGGCGAGTCAGGAGCAAGATGGGGGGCCATGCAAGTTTCTCTGCCGCTGGTGTCTCCTGAGAGCTGGAGTAGGGAAGGGTGACCCAAGAGAGAGGTAGCTGTAATTAATTCAGTAAACTTTGTTTTGGCTGATTCTTCGCCAAAGAATCTTTTTCTACCCTTTTAGTCACCCTCTGGGAATTGAAGGTCGTCTCTGTTTACCAAACCTTGAAGGGCAGAAATCATGAAGAACATTTAATTCACAGACTATGTACATTATCCCCCAGGATACAACTGATTATACTGTTCCTTTTTGCTTTGTGGACACCTGGCACTATAGAAACTCTTTATGGTCTGGTATTCCCCCAGACCATATACAGTATTCCCCATTTTTTCCTACAAAAACATAAGTGGCCTGGAGTGCAGGGGTCTTGCCTTACCTTATTCATAATTATGACTGTATGCAGGTTCTAGTGCCTGCCACACAATAGGCTCTCAAATGTTTATGAGACTAATGGACTCACAGTGACTGTCAGAAACTGCAGAGAGCCTGCTCTATCACAACTTTCTTAACCAGCAATCCTCACAGGGTGGTCCCAAGACCCATCAGGGTTCCCTGGGAATGTTAAAAAGGGCAGAATTTCAGAACAGACCCCAGACAGACCTGCTGAATCAGAAGCTTTGAGGATGGGGCCCAGAAACTTGTATGTTAACAAAGTTGTAGATGTTCCTGATCTGCACCAAAGTTGGAAAACTGCTTTTCTCAATTGCATTGGGGGGGGAGTTTCCACAGAAAGGACTTGAGGAACCTGTGGAAACTTGGTTAGCTATACAAGTCTTGGTGTGTTCTAAAAAGAATCCACTCAGGTTGATAGACCAGTCTTTCATCTGAATCAAGGATTAATGTCCCTTATCACCCCGAGAGGAGTGGACGAGTCCTGTGAGACCCAGCTAGTTCCAGCACTCTTCACTGGAGGGAAGGGTTGAATAGGTCAGAAAGCACAGCAGAGTCAGCTAACATACTTTCATGAAGGACCAAGTGTCCACTTCCTGGGAGACAAAAGAATCTGCTTCTTTGCTTCGCTGGGTGCACAAGCATCTTGAAAGCACTGTTTCTGTTTTTTTGTGCAGGGTCTGCACGTGTGGGTGTTCAAGGGCTGGCCATGAGAATGTGCCAGAGTTCACAGAATCATCAGCCCCCAGTTCCTGCCTCTGAGTCGGGGATGTCTAAACTATGACCTGACCAACATTCTCTTGTGCACCAAGCAGAACCACTTCTCTGCTGGAGATGCCAGGATGCTGGCCACCGTTCCTGAAGAACATCCACTCATCTCTTTTCAGTTTGACCACGGAAATCAATAGTGCGCCAGGCACATTCAACAGTACGTTCCTTAAGCCTCATTTAGGTGAGAAGGTGGTCAGTCAGGAAACTCGAGCCACTGAACTTTAACTGATGACCAAGACGAGGTGAGGCTGAATATTTAGATTCCTCCTAGGACACATGAAGAAACTGGTATACGAACGCAGAAAATGGGACTAGAATCCAGAAATGATGTTCCATTTATTCACTGAAAAAGAGGGAGATTAGGCCTTCTTGATCAATTTCTTCCAGTCTCCCCAAACTCCCTCCCTTCACTTTTCCAAAATAACACACTGAGAAACATTTTTGTACAAAAACCACGTTATTATTCCCCCCCTCACAAAATCGGGTGGCTGTATTACAGGAACGAAACCAGATCAAAGACATAAAAAGAAAAAGTCACCACTTATACTGAAACACAACAGTGTTAAGAATTCAGGTATTGTGTAGAATTATTACCAGCATAGTTAAAATATTTCCACCTGGATCTTTTAAATTTGAAAGTGATCACATTAAAGACCTGAGGTTGCAAGAGACCACAGTATGAACCAGAATTCCATTTTCCTTTAAAGACCTTAGTGGAAAAGGTATTTGGAATGAGTTTCCTTTGGGAAAGACTGGCGGGAAAATACAGAAAACCCTGGCCATTGTCGAAAGGCACTGGGGTCTTTCTGGAGTCAAAAGCAATGGGATTAAACTCCAGTAGGAACAAGCTCATTTCCACTCCAACAGTCTGGAATAAACTCACAAAAGGAACAAGGTCTCCTTGGTTCCAGTACTCTGATGGTGACCAGGGCCACCTGGTTAGAGGTAACACCTGAGGGTTTGAAAGGCAAATCTCAATTGTGGTTTGAATTTTTTTTTTTTTTTTGCTTTCTGATATTAAGGAAAAAGGTTCTAAGGTGTTTTATAAACAACTTCCCACACCCTCACACATGTAAAGCTTTATAGAATATATAGAAAAGATGTTCCACTTTCATTCTAAAGGAAACTGCCACTTGAGAATGTGAAGAGGCCAGGTGCTTTGGAATCCAAGCTCGACCCAAAACACCGTTTCTCCACCCATGGAAGGACAGAGGAGAGGGAAGAAAGACAAGAGAAAACCAAGAACTCTCAAGTCACTCATCAGCAGGGGTAGAAATGGGCTCATATTAAGGCATTTTTGTGGCTCTTCCTCTGGAATGGCACTCCACTCTCCCAGCCCGAGCACCCCACCCTCAAACCATGATGCTTTGATTGCCAAGTGAGTTCCCTGGTACCCAGAGCATCTCCTTGACAACCATGTAATAGATGGAATGTGAGATCTCAGACCGGGAAGGGAGAAAGTATGACAGGCTGTTGGTCTTGCCCCACTTCTCCAATTCCACCCCAAACCTAAAGTACCGCTTCACTAAATCCCACTCACCCTGACTACTGCAAGAGGTAGTTTGGGGACCTGTACCCCCAGCCAACCTAACCAAGTCCATGAGCTAAACTCAGCGCTATCTACTTTTTTTAAGTTTTTCCTTCTTGTATAGAGAGAGAAAAAAGAATGCACACAAAGCAGTGGACAGTGGGCTAGATTCATTGGATGACCATTGTCCAAGACCCCCAAAACTTTCCTGGTTAGTCTAAGGAACTCAGGAATGCCTCCCAAATCGCAGCCCTCAAAGCTTACACTGCTTACACTTTTGAGAAAAACAAAAATGCCTACCCGCCCTAGCAATCAAACAAACCATCTGCATAGAAAACCAGAACCAGTGGGCCTGGGCAAGAAGTGGATTTCTTCTAAAGCTTGTGCTCTCCCCTACCAGGGATGAAAGGGGGTGTTCTGCCAGGCAGGCTGGAGGCTCTCACGGTCTTCACTAAGGATAACATCAGGGGGGGTCCCTTTTCCCCATCTCTTTTAATTTTGGTGCGTCCATGTGTGGCAAAAGTCTCATGAAACTTCACCATCAGCACCATTCTTAGCTCAGATAAGCAGAAATAAGGTCACTTACAATGCCTTAAGGTTTGTCCCCTCTGGCTATCCCCTCTGCCCATCACTATATTTTGGTTCCTAACTTAGGATGCTCTCCTTTAAAGCAATAATGACCAAAAGGAAAAAAAAAAAAAGAAGAGTGATAATTATAAAGCATTATCCATATAAGCATAAGACAAAGCAAAAATAGAACAAAACTGCAGGAGAGCAAAAAATGATAAAGACATAGACCACTAGCGTTGACAGGACCTGCAGATACACTGTCAGCATACCCCACAGCAGGTCAGGGAGACGCCAGGTATTTTAGGGTGACCACAGGGGTCCCCCTTGAGTGTTGGAGGAGGACCTAACACAGCAGGTGTCAGAGTACAGAAGGGGGTGGCAAGAGGAATGGGGAAAATTCAGGGTGTGTGCTTGGGGCTGTGAGAAGAAAACTCCTGAAAGAAACCCAAGGAAGCAGAGAACACAAGTCTTGTCATCCCCACTCCAGCTGGGGGCGCCGGGCGCGGACGTTCCCTGTGTTTTCCAGGCTACGGCGCAGCTGAGGCTGGTGGGCCAGGAGCAGGAGGTGGAGGGCCTCCATCCGCAGGTGCTGGAGGTGGTGGCTGCTGCTGTGGCGGAGGGGGATCTGCAAACACATCCAAAAGGAACTGTCACTCCTGGGCAAGGGCCCATGCAGAGAAACAGGACTTACAAAGGAAGTTTCTTTATGGCCTGTGAGGCACAGCTGTCGCTGCGGGCTACATGAGGCGGTCCACCTAAACCTCCACGTCACCGCTCGTGTGGCTCCCCGGACCCGCGCGGCTCAGGGGTGGGGAGGTGCCTGAGTGCGCCCCACTCTCCTTCAAGGCCTGCTCCTTCCAAGAATCCCTCCAGACTTTTGCAGAACTTAAAACTGCCGATCAGAAACTACTGGCTCTTATGAACTGTCTCCACCAGGGTCACAGAGATTGACTTGAGGCAGCTGCTGACAAGCTGGACAGTCTGGGGAGGCCCCGAAACTCCTGAACTGTAGTCTTTGGATTTTTGGCCAAAACTAGGTCAGGTCCTGAAGGGAACAATTAGGAAAGGAGCTCTTTCCTACTTCTACTTCGGCTGCTTTAGTGTACAAAGCAACCATAGAGATAATTCAATCCAGGGTTTTAAAAACTTCTAGATTTTGCCAGGGATGAAAACGAATGAAAAAAACAATTAAATCACCTCCTTGCTTAACAGCTAATTTACCCAACCTTCCCCTCAGGAGGTTTCCACCCAATTGCTAAGGCTCTTCAAAGCATTTTGAAGTCTACCGATTTACTCCCTGGCGTCATCTTTCAGGGGAGCAAAGCAAGGCCTGAAGAGGGAAGCAACTCGACTGATGAGGCCTGCCCAATGCCCTGAAGCCAAATCAGCAGCTCAGGATCCCTGAAATTCATCTGGGACAGGAAGTGATGGGGAGCACCCCGAACCTTCCACACTCTCAAGGCACGGCACTGAGGGCCCTTCAGGATGGAATCGTATACACAAATCAGGTGTTAACAGCAGGACGGGACAGTGGTAAAGACCAATGAAATTATGTCTGCAACATGGATGGAAGAGTGGTCAACCCTCCCAGTCAGCCAACACATTTTTCCACTGCCTGTGGGGCAGCAAGACTAAGAAAACAGGTACGCACTAGACTGATCTCTGATCCTTGACTCAACAAAAGATCGCTTTTTAAAAAAATATATTTTTATTTATTTGGCTGTACCGGGTGTTAGTTGCAGCACACAGGATAATTAGTTGCAGCATGTGGGATCTAGTTCCCGGACCAGGGATTAAACCCGGGCCCCCTGCATTGGGAGTGTAATATTAGCCACTGGGCCACCAAGGAAGTCCCTCGTTTCTCAACTGTGATCCTGTACTGACCTGGCTCAACTGCTGTCTTTCTTCTGTGCACCTAACTCTGTCCTCATCCCTGGGGGTCCAATGAGAAAGGAGATGCATCTGTGTTGATGGCACTTGTCTCCTGGCTGTAGGAAGTTTCCCACAGAACTAAAGTGAGCTCAAGTCACTTCATAGCCTTGTATAACTTATGGTAAATCCCACACTACTATCCATTTGTTCATGTTTTATTTTCCCAACTAAAGCTCCCGGAGGTCAGAAATTCCTCTGCATCCTCTCTGTATTGTATTATAAATACATTATTATCACTTTATGTTTTTGTATTATAAACACATTATTATAAGCTGTACTATTATAAACAAACAGGGGCTGACTCCACACCTCATGAGGATCCCAGGTCCTCCTCTAAAAGGACCTGGGATCACAGATGTGGTGGGGTACATGGCCACTATCAGCTGCATTTTGGAATCATTACCCTGGTCTACAGGAGTAAGAGGGCAGGCCAGGCTCTGATGCACCCCTTTGGAGGTCAGGGTTGGAGCAGAACAAGGGCTCCATGGCGAAACTGAGCTGGCTTTGAACACATTGCCACAGACACTGTTCAGTAGCATATGTGCCTGCTCCATGGAGCCTGCTAAGACCTCAAACTCCTTCTCAACACAGCCCTGAATACTCCTTTCTAAGTCTAAGTAGCCACTACCAATGTATTGGAGAAAAACTTATTATCCCTGCCCTGAACCATACCCTATTCTTTTCTTTACACCTACCTCTTTGAAATCCTGAATTCACAAAAGGCTCCTGTAGAGAAAATAACTACCAGTAGTTCTGTGTATCTACTCAGATTCAAATTAGATAGGCTCAAACAGGCATGGGTGAGGCATGCCCTTGGCCTCACCACAGCCCTTGGTGTCACGAATAAATCCAGGAAGGCTGTGACACAAGAGCCCGACTAACTGCGCTCACCAACCTGGGCACCTGCCCACCGGGGATGCGGAAGGACACTGCTGTCCAGGATCTGTCACAGCCCAGAGGGAACAGACGGTGCCTGCCTCCCTGTGTGCAGCTCTCCCCAAAAGTCCCGAGGGCAGTGCCGCCCCCCCCCCACCCCCGCCCCGGGTACTTACACATGCCGTTAGGTGCCGTGAGGGGTACCCGGGGTCCTAAGATGTTTCCTGGGATTGGAGGCATACCAGGAGGGGTGGGGCCACTCCCAGGGGGGTGGATGCTGGCTGCAACGGTGGGCATCATGCGGCCTGGCATGGGCTGCCCAGGCATCATGGAACCTGGGCCTGGTATCTGACCTGTGGAAGAAGATTCAGAATACTAAGGTAAGGAAGACAGGAATCAACTCACTGCCTGAGACTGCTAAATACAGACAAATATCTAACCCTCAAAAAGGATTTGAAAGATCAACAGAACAATAATCTGGAATAATCTGTCTAGCTTTTAATTCAGGGTGGGGTCGGGGGCATGGAGAGATGATAGGGCAGGTCTGTGGAGTCGATGACTACCCTAAACCCTGGTATAGGCAGGTAGCTGTAAGACGTTATTACCAAAAAAATCCTAAAAGAAAGCATTCACTCTGGTGAGTTTGGGTGAACAATAGATTGTCAGATATCTTCCTGAGGACACAAAATACCAAGCACGGACCACAGAGAATGGAGAGAAGGACTTGCCAGCAAGTCAGTGCACAGTCCAAGGACTGAAGCTCAGTCCAGACTGAGCTTCATGCACAGGCTATCTGGGAAGGTATGCCTGAAAGGGGATTGGTCACTACCATGAAATTACCATTAAAAAGGTATTCTAATTGGAAGTCTCAAGTCCTTTTCACAAAAAAAAAAAAAAAAAAATCTGTCCCTCTGCCCCCAACCATGCAGCACTGGCCCTGGAGAACCATGGTGGGGGAGACACACGAGAGACAGACAACTCCTTCATCTCTTCCTACTGCTTTGATATGAAAGATGGGGGACACTGGACCCAAGAACAGTGAAGCCCCTCCTGTGTTCAGTCTCACACTGAGCCTTTAGAACTTTCAGCACACTCTTCCTGAAAAGAACCAGGTAGTAAATATTTGGACTTCACAGGTCATATGGCCACTGTCACAACTTTTCAACTTGGCTATTGTAGTACGAAGACAGAGAATATGTAACAAATAAGTTTTGCTGCTGTTTAGTCACTGTCCAACTTATTTGTAACCCATGGACTGCAGCCCACCAGGCTCCTCTGTCCATGGGACTCTACAGGAAAGAATACTGGAGTGGGTTGCCACTTTCTTCTCCAAGGGATCTTCTCAAACTCACGTCTCCTGCATTGGCAGGTGGATTTTTTTTTTTTTTAACCACTGAGCCACCAGGGAAGCCATAACAAATAGGTGACATGTACTTATAATACATCCTTATGGACTCTGAAATGTGAATTTCACATAATTTTCATATGACATAAACATGTTCTCCAACCAGTTAAACTGTAAAAACCATTCTTATATTATGGACCCTACAAACACAGGAGATAGACCAGATTTGGTTGTAATTAGCCAATCCTGCCTTTTAATTTCAATTTCAAAAAGAAAAGCCAGGACTGGCTAAACTACAAACAAACGAAATTAAAAGACACTTGCTCCTTGGAAAGAAAGCTATGACAAAGAGAGATATTATATTAAAAAGCAGAGGTATCACTGTCAACAAAGGTCTGTACAGAAAGAGCTATGATTTTTCCAGCAGTCATGAATGGATGCAAGAGTTGGACCAAAAGAAGGTTAAGCGTCAAAAGAATTGATGCTTTCCAACTGTGGTCCTGGAGGAGACTCTTGAGAGCTCCTTGGAGTGCAAAAAGATCAAGCCAGTCAAAATCCTAAAGGAAATCAACCCTGAAGGTTCATTCGAAGGACTGATGCTGAAGCTCCAATACTTTGGGTGCCGGATAGGAAGAGCCAACTCATCAGCAAAGACCCTGATGATGGGAAAGATTGAAAGCAAAAAAAGGAGGGGGCAGCAAAGGATGAGATGGCAGCATGTGGGATCTAGTAACCTGACCAGGGATTCAACCTGGGCCCCCTGCACTAGGAGCATGGAGTCTTAATCACTGATCCACCAGGAAAATCCCAAGATTACTTTTTAAAAAACAAAATACATCAGCCATATGCCTCAGAATAAACAGGAGAGCAAGTCTGGGGCCCCAGGGTCCCCCTGCTCTGTAATGCAATCCTGCAGAAGTGCAGAAGAGCCCCTGAGGCCTTCTCCACCTGCTGGAGAACGAGTTGATCAAATCCCCTCAGGGAAAGCAACAGCAGCTACTGGGCTGGCATGACCGCCATCCTCACGCCACTGAGCATCAGTCACTAACGCTGCTGGGGGCCTGGGCCACAGATTTAGGCAGTGCTGAAGTCTATCCATGGAGGGGACGACACAGAGGTGAAAAGACACAAAGGCCAAGTACCCTATGAGCCATACAAAGGATGAGGACACATGAAGGGTTGGCAGGCAAAACCAAGGGAAAACTACGGAAGAAGCAAGTGAACAAACTTGATACCCTGTGGCTAGTTAAGACCAATCTGTGGACAACTTAGGAATTTGGATGATGTGTATACAAAGTGAAGGAGGAGAATTAGGAACAGGGTAACAGCAGACTAACCTAAGCACAAGGCCTAGCCTGAGTTGCGAAGTCAGAAGATAATATGAATGTTGTTTCATTTATATGCAGCCTCTTCATACTCGCCATCCCCTCTGAGATAACTACATCACCTTACTATCTACCACCTGCATTACATGTAGGAGTAATAAGCTCAAAAGATTATTTAAAAAAGACGCCCAGGTTAGAGCTAAGCTGTCCATGTTTGGTCTGTCTACACGAATCAAGGCACAAGGGATCTGATGAGTCATGCACACAGAACGAGGTGAAACACATGGCCAGTAAGGCTACAGGGGCCTGGCTGAAGGGTTCTGGAGATGTGAGGGACATGGGCCTGATTTTCTGTGTGATGGAAAGCGATAAGGAGGGATGGAGAGAGGTGCCCTTGGCGGCTCAGTGGTAAAGAATCTGCCTGCCAATGAAGGAGCCACAGGTTTGATCCCTGGTCCAGGAAGACCCCACATGCCCTGGAGCATCTAAGCCTGTGAGCCACAACTACTGAGCCTGTGCTCTAGAGCCCGGGAGCCACAACTGCTGAAGCTCTTGCACCCCAGAGCCCGTGCTCAGCAACAGAAAAGCCACCCCAATGAGAAGCCCATGTGCCACAACTAGAGTAACTCCCACTAGCCGCAACTAAGACCCAGCACAGCCTGAAATAAATAAATGTTTTTGTTTTGTTTTAAGAAGGAATGCAGAGGAGTCTGAGTCTAGAAGTGAGGACAAGAGCTTTTGCAGAGAAGTAGGGGCTGAATGAGGGCAGGCTGAGTAGGTAAGAGCTGGGAATAGCACCCTACAGGCATCCTGGGGATGGATGAGAGAACGAGGAAGAGGAAGAGGGGCAAGTGTGAAGTTGAGAAGGAGAAAAAAATGGAAGCCTGGCATCTGACTGGCATGTGCAGTGCAGAGAATGGGGAAGGACTTTGGCTCTGGGATCAGGAGGTGCGTGACTGGCTGCCATTCCAGTGGAATGCTGAGATGGGGTGAAGGGAAGATGCAGAACCCTCAAAGTTTCCAGTGGGCAGTAAGTACCACACACAGAGCCTTATTATTCTGAGAATTAGAGTCAGTCCTCTGGAACTCTCCCAGTTTCCTTCTTACCACACACGTGCGAGGTCATTACTAAACACAAGGCTTTGTTTCCCACTCTCTGAATCTTGTTAATGTTGTTGTTGTATAGTTGCTCAGTCGTGTCTGACTCTGCAACCCCATGGACTGTAGCCCGCCAGGTTCCTCTGTCCATGGGATTTCTGAGGCAACAATACTGAAGTGGGTTGCCATCTTCTTCTCCAGGGGATCTTTCAGACTGAGGGACTGAACTTGTGTCTCCTGCTTGGCAGGCGGATTCTTGACTGCTGAGCCTCCTAGGAACCTCCCTCAGCCTCTACTGACTCTCTAATGGTATTCCAGGTGGTGAGCAGGGAGAGAAAAGAGATTTTTGCTGTTGTTGGGGATGGGAGGCTGAGTTTGGGTCCAGACCTACAAAATCCCAACCTGGAGATGAAAGAACCCTTTTAATGGATTTGCTGTGATGAATGGAAGCTGTTCACTAGAGCAGATAATACAGCTCATGGTTGTCAATGGGTACAGATTGCCCCCTTCTACCCAGTTCAACCTGGACAAGAGGCCTTTGAGCAAGTTAGGAAGAACATTTTGCCAGCCCTTCTCAGATCTCTCTCTCTCTCTGGAAAACTGACATTAGAGCACTGAAGAATGCCTTTACAAAAAGATCAGAATGAGTACTGAGTAAGGGAGAAAGAAAGAAGTAAGAGCGCAGACCAGGTGTATGCTAAGTGAACGGACACACACCTGCTCAGTCCTAACCATTCTTATCTACAGCAGCACAACAGAGTTTTCTACTGTAATATCTTTAGCAAGGTACGGGCTGCCCAAACTCCTGGCTGACCAGTGAGCACACCCGTCAGTAAGCCACCCAATTCCACTCTCAACAGGGAAAGCACTGGTGAAAGTGAAAGTTGTTCAGTTATATCTGACTCTTTGTGACCCCATGTACTATACAGACCATGGAATTCTCCAGGCCAGAATATTGGAATGTGTAGCCTTTCCCTTCTCCAGGTGATCGTCCCAACCCAGGGATCGAACCCAAGTCTCCCACATTGCAGGCGGATTCTTTACCAGTTGAGCCACAAGGGAAGCCCAAGAATACTGGAGTGGGTAGCCTATCCCTTCTCCAGCGGATCTTCCCGACCCAGGAATCAAACTGGGGTCTCCTGCATTGCAGGTGGATGCTTTACCAACTGAGCTATCAGGGAAGCCCCTACAATATCATTCTCAACAGGGAAAGCACAGATGAACAAGACTGCAAATTGAACAGTGTGATCTCCACTTCACGCTGACCTAGATGAGTGGTTCTGGACAAGTTGTTTAGGCTGACCCAAGCCTCAGTTTCCTGAGATTATCATCAAGAGCAATGCTAAATATACACTGTACTCTAACATCCAGTTCTCTGTACGATCAGGGAAATGGTTTGTTATGATGCCTTACTATGTCTCTGGCTCTGCCTTATGAGAGGAAGAACAAACATTCTCAAGTTAGAGTAGACAGAAGCTCAGAAAAAGTTAAGAGATTTTTTTACGGTCTTTAAACCTTTAAGAGGAATCAGATCCAAGTCTTTTGATTCTAAATCTAATTCTTTACCATACTATTCCATGCTCAA